TTAGGGGCAAGACGTCTAGTTACATTAGGAGACCAAATGGGCAGTGACTAAAGGCCAATGATTGCAATCACTCAAAATGTCCTTCGACAGCACCTTGTTTGTTGTTTTGGCGCTCTTTCTGCTGCAAAATATACACCCCTGGGGCACATTTCATACCAGCCACACGGGCGCCATACTAAGCAAGCCATTCTTGGTCTCAAAGACTATAAAACAATGCATCCGTATGGTATGGCGCAGAGCTGATGATGCAACACACCCATTCTTGGAACCCAAGAAGCCCAAGGTATGTGACAGCGACCACTCGCAGCCACATCCGCCCAAAGGACCGAGCCAACATCCCGATCAGTCATACAAACAACACCAAGAACAAATCGACCACAGTACACAGTTTCGAGTAGTGTAAAAATCGAGTAAAACCGTGTCAAAGCATGTAAAAATCACGTGCACTCAATCGTTAATACATGATTTGGTCCCAATTTTATACGATATACACGATTGGCAGATTACACAATTTGCAAAACCGTGTATTTTAGCCAATTTTTCAATAGCCACGGCTGCACGGGTACCAATACGCCGCTGCATCAGCGATTCTCATGCCCATTCCCAGGCTTGGTTTTTACGCAGTAAAAACTGATAGTATTTGCTTTTTTATGCGTAAAATGCGTAAAATACGTAAGCAAAACGTAAAAACTGGCCGGTGTACATAACAACAGTACATACAGATTTACGGAGTCCGAAGAGTTGCAGCCAGATGCCTTTGGAGACGCAGGAAACGAGTTTTTGTCAAACGCCATCATCGCCATTGCCAAGGGCGAGGTGGACATTGTGTTGCAGGTGCTGATGATGGCCGAAGACTGATCATTTTACGCTTTCATCGTGTCACCTAGGTGTCCCAGGGAGCCGCAAAAATGTAAAAATAGTCGTAAAAATAGGCCTTTTTGCAGATTTACGTTTTTATGCATAAAGACGTACAAGTAAAAACGTAAACGAAAATGTAAAAACCAAGCCTGCCCATTCCAGCATAATATCGCAACTAATTCCCCGATACACTGCGGCACAAGCCCGAAATGTGACGTCCCTTCAAATGCGATCTCCGTCCCAGCACCCCCTCTCCCCCTCCCCCGAACGTGTTGATACACCTGGTTCTTAGGCCTACGTCTGCGGCATGCACAGCCACAGGCTTGGAGACACAGCTGAGGGAACAGAGCTACATAGAGACCACTGCCAGCCATGTGCCCTTATACAAAAACAGCTATCCGTCAATCACGGGATCAATCGCCGTCGTGTCATTGTGCATCCCCACGTGCTTGGGCCCAAACCCGCCCCACGTTCCGTGGCCCCCCCGGCATACAATTACTGGCTGCATCAAATCGGTGTCTTTCTGCACTAAATCGGTGACTTCTTGCACCAAATCCCTCCAAACCTAATCTAACCTAAACCCTAAAACGTAAAACCTAAAAGCTAAAACTTAACCCTAAGTCTACGTACACCCTAAAACTAAACCGAAAACTGAGGTGGGGACCTAGTGTGCACGTGACTTAGTGCAAGCAGTCACCGATTTAGTGCAGGCAGTAATGTTATTTCGGCCCCCCTGCCGGTGGGCAGTCACACATTTTCTGCCACGTGAAACCCCGCTGGCCAATCTCAGCTGCGCGTTCCTGTACTTTGGCGATGGCCAGTCACACATTTTCGGTCACGTGACACACCCGCGGGTGGTGGGCCCCCCAAATTTCTGAGATCTTTGCCCATCCCTCTCAAGCAGGACGAGGGAAAACAGACAACCGGCAGTAACCACACCAGCCACACCACAGGCGAAGTGCCGATCACATGGCTGTGACCTCCACATAGCGTCCAGGCCCCCTGTGGGCCCGCGCCCCCCTGCGCCTCTATGCCCATGCCGCCCCTTCCCCCTCCCCCACAAAGCCGCCCTCAGGGGCGCTCATCATCGGAGGCGGGCACAGCGGCATGGCCACGGCGCTGGCCCTCACGCGGCGCAGCTGGAGGCAAGTCACCGTGCTCGAGCAGCCACCCGACCACCAAACAGCTCTATTTACTCAAGCACCCTTCACAGCACTTTTTACTAAGCTAGAGCGCAGGTTACTAATGCTTTTAGTCAACCTTTACGAACGCCACCTCACTACAAGAAGCTTCTACTGCTTCCCTTTGGTTTCCAGACCCTCACGGCCTCCGCACGAATGTCTATTCTCCATCCATGCTTTTTGCGCATGCCGCAGTGCTTCCCCCACCCACGCTTAGGTAGTCCGTGTTGTCATCTGTGTAAGGCGCCTCCGCGTCCACCATTTCCTTGTCTTGCGCCCATTCAACGCGCTCCGCATCCACGTTTGCACTGCCCCCACTCTTGCCATTTGCCTCCGCCTCACTTTCGGCGTCGGCGGCTGGCCATTCAACGCCCGCACCATCTGTGCCACCCATGTCAAGGGCTGGCTTGCTGTCGCCAACGCCGCCCCTATTTCCGCTACCGACCGACCCTCCACAGCAGCTCAAAGCTTTTTTTTGGCGGTCGGTGGAGAGGCCACTGGCTTGCGGGATCCAAACTGGATCCCCCTCTCCAGCCCCTCGGAGCATCCCGTCCGGAACCGCAATGTTCAACAGGTTTGCCATGGTGCTTTGAGCAGGTTTGCACCATCGGCAGCCTTTAATTTTTCATTGCGCGCCTTGCGCAAACCTCCCTGGCTGTGGGGGTCTCAAGCGGAGGTGTCTCGGGCGCAGGGTCCATTCCCACGGCTCTGTACAGTTGGCTCGGCTGTCAGCGCATGTGACACAACAAAAAAGGCCCAGTCATACAGGGCAACATACAGGGCTATCCCTATCCTTGACAATATGAGTTCGGGCATGTGGGAGGCCAATGCGACGCAAGTCGGTCGCGTTTCATCACAGTACGACATCCAAATATGGATGTCAGTCAAACTACATCACTAATATGCAAGTAAAAGCAAATGCACAAAGTTCACCCTTGTCCCATCAAGCCAGGGGAGGCTGTGACAGGCTGGCAATGGGTTTCAGTTGCATTATAAAGCTCCTTTCAGGTGTCTCAATGCTACAAATCAGCCTGACCGCCTGGCAGCATCCGTACTGCCCTTTGGGTCATGCTTTATCATCAGAATGATTCTCAGACGGCAACAGTTCTCCCCGTGCACTGTGCCCTGGCTCCGTGCGTCGCCCCAATCGCAGTCACCACCCAGTTTAATGCTTTGGCGGGAGCATAATTGCCAGGCCATTTTGGTGCTTTCTTCCAGCATCCCTGGCTCATTACTTGGAATCGCCTTTATGGCTGCCAAAGTCTTGGCGAAATGCTGTGATGTTCAGCCAGCTCTTCACCTCCGTATAGCTGTGTTCTTTTACATCCCTTCAAAATTTCCTTTGCTGCTTTCCTTAGCCTTTAATCCCTGCCATGGACTGTTAGTGGTTCCTTCAAGAACCCCCTTTTTCCCTTTCTTCTTATCAGCAAACATCACAGCAGCAAGTCTTTGAGTTTCGTGGTCATATGAATTCAAGTCCAGCAGTCATATCAGGCTCATACTAGGACTACTGTACTCAACACCTCACATTAGGACCTACATTTTCATTGTGTCCATTCATATTCAATCGTGTCAAGCTGCAGCCCTTCAGACTGAACCGTGCATGAAATCTAGTAGCATCGCCTCATGTTTCTTTCCTTTTCCTCTTCAGATATTGACCGTACTTCGGTTGCTATTTCTTCAACCATTCTGTTCACCTTGCATGTTAATGAACTCGACTTCTGTTCATCTAGTTCCTAGTAATCTACGGCAGGTCTTTTTGTGCATACTTTTCTTATCCAGTTCTTGCCTATGTGTCCCGTTGACATCCCTGGGCTCAACGTTTCAAGGCGGTTTATTCATGTACGCAGCTGGTTGTCCTTTCTTGGTCAGATTCTTATGTAGATTACAGTTACAAGGCCCAACATCAAGCAGCCGTCAAATGCAAGCCCCTGGATCTGCTTTAAAATGGAAACATTTGTGTCCATTAAATGCAGGCTTCTGATGCTGCCTTTTCATGAAAGAAAATGCATCGCCTTGTTGAAAGCTTTAAGCGACCATGCTTATGAACAGTCGGGCTCCAGCCAGGCACCATCAATGTTCTTCAGCGTGTCCAGAGCAGGGCAGCCGCTGAGGGATTGTGGCTTGCCCTATTGTTTCCTTGGTCTTTCTCCTACAGCCATCGCCCAGGCAGCATGTTAGGAACCACAAACCGTAAAGGCACAGCGACCATCGAATGTTTTCTTTATGTACCGTTGCATCAAATTAACAGCTCCCTCTTGATTTTTTAAGGTAATGCATATCCGTATTTTTTCTTGATTCCTTCTTTTCGCTTTCTCCCTGACTGGTTGTTTGATAATGGTCCAGTCAGCTGCCTTATGTCGGTCATGAGCCCGCCTTTGACGTACCGGTGCTCATGACTAACAACAGCTTTAACACAGAGTTTATGGATACGGGTTGTTTCCATGGTTTTAGAATGCAGAACGCTGGTGATCACCATCATGGTCGATCGACCTGCACATATTGAACTCCACAATGAAATCGTAGTTCCACGACCTTTCCAGAAAAGTCCTCAAATGTATCGGTCGCAGTGATGACAGAAATAGAAATAGTTCGTGTCGCTGCACCGGCTCAATGGTTCTGTACCACATCTGAATCCTCGAGGTGTGGTCTGGCCAGACCATGGTCTGGCATGAGATTAGATGCTCGTCTTTCCGTGTGGATCCCATCTTGTTTCCGGACGCCCTAAACCCTGAAACCACTGGCCCACTGACCGGCGCTGGCCTTGTCAACGGAAGGAGAAGGGATCTTGTACAATCTGGTCTAGGTGTGGCTCTTGGCGGTCGCGTGGCGGCTACGTGGCTGTTGGTCACACATGCTGGTGTGGCATTTTCCGCCAGGCTTGGCCTGTCTTGTACGTAGACAGCGGCCGCCACCACAGACCTCCAGGCATCCCCGCCCCCACAGGCGCGCCCGGATCCCATGGCCGTGACCTCCACCCAGCGTCCGGGCCTCCTATGTGCCCGCGGCCCCTCGCGCCTCCATGCCCACTCTTGCCCTTCCTCCTCCCCCACAAAGCCGCCCTCTGGGGCGCTCATCCTCGGGGCGGGGCCCAGCGGTATGGCCACGGCGCTGATCCTCGCGCGGCGCGGCTGGAGGGATGTCACGGTCCTCGAGCAGCTGCCTGCGGCGAACACCTTCGATGTCAACCGGGCGTTCACGTACACCATCAACTTGAGGGGTCAGGAGTTGACCGACTCGTTGGGACTGACCCACGAGCTGGCAAAGCGCGGATTGGCCTCCACAGAGGTCGAGTTCTTCACACTGGGGCCTGGAGGACCCGTGAGGAGGGCAAGTATGATGGGCTTGCAAAGCAGCAAGAAACCAGCCTATTGGATCACTCGGCGGAACATGAACCTGATCTTGTACCAAAAGCTGGAGAATGAATTCTTGGAAAATGGGAGCGGCAGGGTGGAGATGGTGTTTGGGGTGAGGGGGGCCAGGGTGGAGAGGGAGGGGGAGGGTGGGCGGATAGAGGTAATAGCCGAAGGCCCAGGCGGCGAGGCACTGCGCTTCGCGCCCAGGCTGCTGGTGGCCGCCGACGGCGCGAGATCGACGGTGCGCGAGACGCTGGAGGAATGGGATTGTCGATTTGGGATGAAAAAATTGGATTCCGGCGCGGCGGGGCTGCGCTTCAAGGTGCTGCCCCTCAGGCCGATGTTTCCGATCGGCAAGGGCGGCTCCGGGCGCGCGGAGCCGTGTGCCGCCTACATGGTGCCCGGCGTGAGCAGAAGTGGGCAGAAGATCAGGTTAGGCATCCTGCCCACCGCGGACGCGGAGGAGCCGCGGACGGCCAACGTGATCCTGCGGCCGTGGCACGAGTTCTGGTCCCTGCGAACCGGCCGGGAGGTGTTCGATTACCTGCAGGCGGCCGTGCCCCAGGTGTCGATCGGCGACATGGCGTCCATGGAGGACGTGGAGGGCTTCGCGGCGCGGAGCGGGGGGCGGTTCCCGCGGCCCCAGCACGCGGGTGCGATGCAGCACTTGGCGGGGAAGGGGGAGCACGCCCAGGGGGTGGTGCTGGTGGGGGACGCGGCGCACGCTTTTCCGCCGGATTTGGGCCAGGGCGTGAATTCGGCTTTCCAAGACGTCCTGGCGCTTGACCGGGCGCTTCAGGGGGCGAATGACGACGTGGGAAAGGCGCTACCGGTGTATGAATCTACCCAACTGGCGAACGCCGAAGCGCTTGTTCGGTTGATGGTGATCGGCGCTCCGTGGCAGTACGGTCAGAACTTGTTCAGGTTGAAACTGTGGGGAGTCAGCGTGAAGGTGAGGGCTGCACTGGCCAAGGCGTTGCCGGGGATTGTGTATCCGCACGTCCGGTCAATGGTGGGGGACCCAAGTCTGAGCTACGTGGAGGTTTTGAGGCGGGAGCAGCGGAGTGTGGCGGCGTTGGGCTTTTTGGGCCTTTTGGCACTGTTGCTCGCACTGGCTGTGGTTCGACTTATCAGGGCGCTGGTGGCGAAGGGGTGACGCCTGTGATTCAGTTTGGTAGTTAAGAGCGAGGTGTATACGAAAGCGGCATGATCGATGGTTGGGAAACCTCGGGGGGGGAGGGGGGGAAATAGCAGGCCAGAGTGCGCGGCAATGGATTACAGCGGAGAAGAGCGTCAGTTGGGGTTTGGCTACCTAAATGCAAGGTTATTCGTGTTGTAACCAAGTCTCCAATAAATGATATAACAATGTTTAGCGGTGGCTGTGGATCAGATAGAGCGCCAGATTCAAGACTGACGACCAGCAGCGGTCGCTTGCTGAACGGTTGGGAACAAACCTGACTGCAAAGTGAGAGCGTTTGCAATATATTTTACATCACTTGGGAGATACTGCACAGATTTCTGGATCGTGCAAACAACAAAGGGGTAGATCTCAGCCAATGCAAAGGTGTGCACCATTCACCATGACAATTCTGTTCAAAACACTGTCTAATTACTGGATAAACAATTATGGTCAGTATGCCGTGATGCAAAATGACTATCGACACGCAACTTCTTCTGGACATAAGTTAATGGCCTGCATTCTTTGGGTAAATCACATAGGCTCTGGCCAACTATGCAAATCATTATTTAGTGCAATGGCAAATGTGGCCATCCCATGGAGTGGATTAGCCGATATTGGAGGCATTTCAAGCAGGTTTACCCGCGATCTGTTGAGTGCAGCACGTACATCTAAGAGCGAGTGAGATGCAACGTCTGCAGGCAACCCCGATGAATGTCTTGGTTTATTTTTCGCCATCAAGGACAAAGTGGGGCCTTGCAGCTTACAGGCAACGAAAGGGTACTGATTTTATGTAAAGTTCATTGCAAAGTTCATGAACTGTTCATGCAAATCAAATATGGCTTGGCAACATCTCCACAGCAGAGGCATTGTTTCAATGCCTCCAGCGTTTGTTTTATGCATGCCCACAAGCGCTTGTAAGGTGCAATGATGCGAGTTTGTTATTCGAATGCAAAATCAACAACAACACTTGGCGTTCTCTAGGGTCCCTACCTGCTGCCTCACCACCTTTAGGAATAATTAATAATTGGAAAACGACAAAAGGGGGTCCTTTGTGAGATATCCTGACAAAAGGTGGTCCTGTGTGACAACAGCAAGTCTTCTGCTTGGGTGCATTTAGCAAAAGGGGTTTCTCTGACCCGCCCCTGTACAATGTGCAATATACATTAGATGCATTGCCAGACCATCACCAAACCGGCACCAGACCGGCGCCGTACCAGCGCCGGTCTGGGGCTAGACCGGACCACAGTCCAACTAGGGGCGACCCTTATGGGAGGGCGCCACGGCGATCAGGGTGTGAAGGGGAGTCATGGCGATCTGGGCTGCTGGGGAGACCAAGAAGATATCCGAGCTGCCTAAGAGAGCATGCAGCGATCAGAGCTGTGGGAGGGAGTCATAGTGGTTGGAGCTGCGGAGAGACCAAGCGGTGCTGTGGATGTGGTGTTATATGCAGGCATATACTTTACGCCTGCATGAAAATGCGGGCGGATCAGCGGATTGCCAGTACGGCGTTGACTCCCAGTAAGCTCCACCACATGCAGCAACCCTTCACCAGTAGAAAACAGCCTGTTTGTGATGCCAACTGCGATGCCATTTTGACACAAATTGATGCCATCACAGCCCCTTTTATGCCATCTCAAACACTCTGACGGCATCAATTTGTGTCAAAATGGCATCACAGCTGGCATCGCAAACAGGTTGTTTTCTACCAATGCTTGTGGCCATGCGGGCCAGCGCATTCCCCCCTGGGTGTTGATTATCGGTTCGATTATATTTGCCACATGACAAAGCAGAATACCGGCAACGTTGGTCAGTGGTCCCAAGAACATGTGTTTTGGGATCGCGCCCTGGTGTTGCACAAGTAGAGAACAGCGTTGTCACAAGGCCAGCTGTCATATTATTTGACACTAATTAATGCCATCACAGTTGCTTTTGTGTCATGCAATTGTTGCAGTGGCGTCGCTTAGTGTTCAACAGACGGCGTCCCCAAAACGGTGTTTTCTGCTATTGCTGCTGTGCTGATTTAGCCTAGGCGGCCCACGGCCCAGTCGAAATTGGGTTCTGTTGGAGAGACCCTGCACTCATCAGCAGATCTATGGCAGAAGATCGAACAAAAATGTACCCGTGCCACGCTATCAGACCAAGCTGCCTTCGACAGAACAACAGGCAGAATTTGAGGCAGCTTGCTATGTCCATGTGCTGGAGAAGGATTGTATCGGGTTGAGCGACCTACAGCAGGATCCTTGAAGGAGCGAGGTGGAACATTTCTCTAATCCATTCTCGTACACAAGATGGAAAGGGGTAGGCCAGACTGGCAGCGATCAGAATGCTCATGGCAGCAGATCTAAAAAGTTGCAGATGCACGTTGGAACTATTGGCATTGGAGATGGAATCACCGCTGGAGTTGTGACTCACCTTTGGGTAACTGCAACAGCCCTTCCTGGGGCCCAACCCCTGTGCGGAGGCATGCCTTGGATTCGGCCGAGCTGAGGCCGGTCATGTTCCATCATGGGCTGGCATCCACATTCCCACCTTTAGTCACTGACCTGTATCAGACACGCCAGGACAGCCTCCGCTTTAGTAATGACTTCTTCACAGTTAACGACGGTGTCGCGGGGCTCTTTTAATAGCCTCCACTGGTCCCTTTTTTCCGGCGCGCGTCCCACATCATCCGCCTGTACCCAATTGGGCCGATGGCCCCTCCGCCGAACCCGGCAGGCGTAATCGGGGTGCTCGCTTGTTTGTTGCGCGGTGGGCCCTCTTGCGCTCTGGGATCGGGTGGCCCTGCCATTCGAAGATGGCGGGTTGTGAGGCAGCTTGCTCCCCGGGCCGGGAGGCCCGTGCAGAGCGCGGCAGTGAGCCAAAACGGTAACAAAGTGGGGAGCAACGCCTCCCCGCGTATGTACTGGTGGTGGACCACATTCCGGTCCGACCACCCATCACACAGACACCACACAATGTACATCAGCGTGTCGCAACTGTATCGCCCAGCATACCCCCGTATCAGACCCACCATCGATACATCGCGGCCCAATCTACCCCCACGGCCTGTCCCTTAAGTACAGGGACTTCCCTAGGCCATACACTACTCCACACTTGGGGGATTTAGACAAAGAAAGAGCCTACGAGTATCTAGACATCACAAAGAATCCAAATAATGGGTCCAATCCCACATATGACTAACCAACCAAGACTAATGGCCATAATTCTCTCGACCCCCATGTGTTTCCACAACAATACTTCCCCCTGGGGGGAGTTTTCGCCCTTGAAAACAAGACCGAAATCAATGTCCTCTATCAGCTACCTAATGGTTGACCTAACTATAAAGCCAGTGTCACCTCAGGCATACTCCAATGACCATCTGTCTAGTCCCTCTGTGGAATTTCGGGATATGTTCCAGTGTACAAGAAAATCAACCGATCTTCTTGTTATTGGGACCTCTTCAGTACCACTGCAATAGTTGCTCATCTCAAAATCTCTAAGTCAGGTCTCTCCCATCACTATGTCGGATGTACACTCGTGTTCATCTTGAAAGCAGAAAAGATGAAACAATGCTATGACCTGTGTCCGAATATATCAGGTCAGCACGAGTGCTATCTGCCTGTATACTAATAGTGTATCTGGTCGACCAGGAGCATCCGACTCTCCACTACCTGACAAGTCTGATATAAAAATAGACAACTTATGAGCCAGCTATCCATCTAGGGATCGATGTAGATCTACAGATAATCCTCTCTGTCCTAATCCCTCAAATGAATCTCTCCGAAGTAATTTTCCCCTTTGAAACTGCAGTGTACCTTAGTCATTCCATCTCTATATCTGCCATGACAAGGTACCCCAATAAAAGATTTCTCGACTCCTCACTGCACGAATCTATCATAGTCCTCTATCTATCTGAGCCCAATCATCAATCAGTAAAGCATTGGCCTGGCCTCAACATCCAGTGTCCCATACCACTATCAGTCTTACCAGCACCAAGCCTCATGTCTCAAGGACTGAACATAAATCAAACTCCCCTCAGATCTGAAGACAATGATATAATCATGGAAACTTTTATCACCCGGCGCTGATCACAACAATCCTTTCAGGTAAACACTGTGAACAGCTCGCTATCACTATCAATGATCTAGAGCCTCCAATCATATAGATCATGCACCACTGTACTGTGTTACGCGCACCGGCCTGATATGGGGGACGCCCTACTACTGGCCCTTGTTGTGGGGGACGCCCTGCCCAAGATCGTATCATATTCCTTGTTCCACGGTAACCATTATACTTATATGGATATGGGAGTAGGAGGGGTGGTCCCGCCTAGGTGCCCCGTAAGGACCTAGGTGCCCGGCGAGGTGGGTCCGCGGCTCAAAGAGGGCAGGAACCCCACACCCACAGACTTTTCGTATCATTTGGTTTCGGAGCCACCTGAGGGTGGCAACCACGCTTCCGCCTGAGCGGACGCGCAAGCTCGGAGCAGCGGGCTCCCTCCCCGGTCTCCTCAATGGAGGCCAAGGAATCGGACACGTCTGCTCGCAAGGGTACCCCCGATATGTCGGGAGAGCTTGATACACCCCGGGGGGGGACACCGACCTCGGTTGGTGAAGTTAAAGCCCGGGATGGGCAAGGAGGTGAACAAGTCTGGGAGGACACGGCTGGACCCTCCACAGCCACTCCGCCACCCGTAGAGGAAGATGAACCGATGGGCGAAGCGAGTGCCCCACCGGCGGCGGAGAAGAAGCAAGAGCAAGATCAGGGAACCATGGCGGCGCTGCTGTAGACCTCTGGTATCATGGAGCTCTTGGAGCAAGTGGCGGAAGCTGCGGCCCAGAAGGCGAGGGCGAAGCGGGATGAAGAGACCGCTGAGAGAATCGCCTCATTGGAGATCGCCGCCAACAAGGCCAAGAAAGAAGCTCGGGAAAAAGAGGTGGCCATGAAGAAGGCGAAGCAGCAAAGCCGCGAGGCACAAGAAGCCAAGACCTCCGCCG